TAGCATATTACTAATGATTAAAGAAAAACAGTTTAGTCCAATAATTATAATCACCTTTTGTTTTTTTTTTCTTTGTAACTCGGAAGGTAATGTGACTTTAGATGTTTAATTGTTTGGAAATAATAAACCATTGTGAAATAATTGACTGCGTTTTTTAGATAGGAGAAACCTAACTAAGCCCGAATGAAAAATTAGAGGAGTTAAATGCAAAAGTATACTGGTTATACCAATTCTTTACATATAGCTACTTAGATTGTCAAGTGTTAGTAACTATTTTGCCTTAACTTTTATTTAAAAAATCAATTTTTTTCCCAGCCCTGGTCTTGGTCTTGTAACAGTTAGGCGGTCTTAGTCTTGGTCTTGCAAAGTGCAAGACCAAGATCGATTTTAGGTAACACTGGTGGAGGAGGAGGAGTCAGCCCGAAAGTCTCCTGGTGAGTTTTGGCGTTCTATTACTTCAACATTATTTATATAACAAGAATTTCATGAAATATTTTGATGACTTTTTGCTTTATATAGTCAGAAGATCGTGCAATCAGTGAAATTATTTTTTACATATAGAAGGTTGTTTTGTTTTTTTTTATGCAATCAGTTATCCATCGATAAATTAACAATTATGTACCTTCAGGTCTAAATCTACTAAAAGTGTACATAGTGACTTTTTGCAATATACTTACGACATGTTTATCTACGAATTGCAATTATTTGTTGAAACAATTTTTTGGAATGTTAGTTATTCTCTTAAATAAATTTAATAAAAACTAATGGAGCCATTTTTAAAAACGCCGATATTAAAGTCTGTTTTAAGCATCATGAGAATATTAACTTTGGAAGGATGCTTAGTAAATTTGTTTTGTTCTTTTTTTTAATTAAATCTTGATTTCCTCCGGTTTCTTGATAATAGTGAAAATCAGCAAACAAGCATGGCAGACCGGGGCAAGTTGATCATAGAGGCATGTTGGCGCATTTAATTTTCTTGATAGCCATTAGAATTTTCCTTGAATGATACCCACAACAGGCAACACCTTTAGACCCACTCATCCACGACTACTAAATCGTATATTGTGATCAATCAGAAGAGGTACCATATATTCCTTTCTTTTTCTTTCTTTTTTTTAAAGTATATTTAAAAGAACATTTTATTTTATTTTATAATAATTTTTTTCTTCTCTTGTCATGATGTTTTATTTTGTTCTTATTTCCATGTATATTATATTGCCATTACTTTATTTGTTTATTATTCTGTAAATATGCTCTCTGAACTCGTTCATAAGTGTCCTTAAACAAAAATAAAAACAGGGCTTCAAATGTAAAAATTCATATAAATAGAGTTTCACTATGTAGAGAAGCTTTTTATTCCTGCGTGAGGTTAAAAAAAAATGTACTCAGAATAGAAAATTACTCCTCGCATTTTACATTAAAGAACAAATCTGGTTCAGTATCTTTCTGCCAGTTTGTGTGCCTATCTATAGACAAATCCATGTAATTGGGCATCTTAGCTACTACCTACCTATTAGATTTCCACGGAATTTTGAGGAATTCGCGGGTTTATTTGAGCGTGATATCGGTCAAATCACCTCCTTGCACAACCGTTGACTTATAAACACTGCTTTCCCTAAATACTACTGAACCAAAGACCCTTCATGGGTTGTAGTTGCACAGGTTTTTTTTTTTTTTTTACTAGGGTTTATTGATCAATTTCCATTCAATAATTTCTGTAAAGGTATTATTTTAGGTAAGTCTTTCAGAAACGGATTGTTCGATTAAGCTTAACGTTATTAGAATGTTGGATATTGGAAAAAAAAATGTATCAATTTTATTTAATTACATCACCTACTTTCTCGTACATATCGCTAACACCGTATCTCAAAAGCCGCACGTTCGATTTAGCCAAAATTTTAATGGAAGCTAGAGATTGATTAACTAATGGTCAAGTATTTATAAATTTCATCTATTCCATCCACTGCTTGTTAACAGTACTTTCACTTTCAGAGCGTGAATCGTATAGTTTTTGGCGCGCCAAAAGTTTGAAAATGGCTCGTTAGAATACATTCACAATTAATGAAAATTTGGAGTGGCAATAGTGCAGAAATTGCCTAGTATCAATTTCATGCAAATCCAATCAACAATTAAAATTATTATAAATAAATGTGGAGATTAAGTTTATACTATTATTTTTGAGGCTTTTACAAGGCTATTATTTACAAGGCTTTTTTTCTTGTAATTTGTAAACTTCGCTCATATTTTTATATTCCACCTTAAATTAGTTTTATTCTAACTGATGGAAAATGTAGGTTCCGTTAAAACCGAATAAACAAAAACTTGAATGTTTTCAATGAAGTTTTTTACTAATGTTCAATATACACGTACTGAACTCGTATGCTGGACATTGTTCCAGTTCCTGAGTTATTTTTTTTATTTTAACCACGAATAGTCGCTACAATCATGCCGAAACCCTTCCATTGTTTTGTATTTGATTATGATCAAAATTTTCAATTTATTTAGGGCTAGCAACGGGGTGGAGCGTACGCTCGTGATAATATGAAGGAAATAATTCCGCAAAATAAATAAATGTGAAAAGAACGGAAGAATAAACTAATCCAAAAACAAATTTGAAATGTACTCTTAAATATCATCTCAGGCTACGTTAAATACATTAAAATTATGTCATAATAGATTGAAACTTGCCTGGAATGTTTCCTTTTTTTATAATTCTGTTTTAAACCATGTTTGCCTTTCAAATAAGAATTTTGCCTGAATAATAATGCAATAGCTTTTCTAGAAGGGGAGACATTTATTTCAAAGAGGGGAGAGCAATTAATTTAAGGGTGGGAAAATTACTCTTTATTTCCTAATTACTATCTTTAAGAATGTTTAAGACTATCAACCGACCTGTCATTGACGATCGTTTTCTAGATTTTTTGAAGTGAAAACTTCTTTAGGAGGGCTTTGCACTTTTTCGTTGGTAATGAATGAGACTCAACTATCCAGCTCAGATATGTAACGCTTATTTAGGTAAAGTCGACTTGAAGTGTTTTTGCATTTGGATTAAAATATCTCAAAACTGAAAGTTTGACCTGCATACTGCAGCGGAAACGTTCAGCATTATATCCTCTTTGTAATGAACTATAAATAAAAATTGTATTTTAACGTGACGCTGAGTTAGAAAGTTTGGAAAGAGAAAAAGATAACACCAAATAAAGAAAAAACAAACAAAAAATAACGACTGGTTTGAACATTTGGACTAAAATATCTCAAAATTTAAATACCATGGAGAATCCAGAAACCAATTTGCGGAAGCCATTATACATATTTTTTAATTTACCAATAAAATAACAAATTATTTGTTTCTATTCGTATGTTGCACTAGATAGAGTTCTGACAAATTTCTGATCCCTGTCGCAGAAGTCATATTAAATAATGGGGGAGTTTTTGCATTTAGCAAAATGATTTCAATCAAAAGTATTCATGACATATTTTAGTTATCAGAAACCTATTCCACCATTTTTAGACTATCATACAAATGAAGATCAATCAGTGCAAAGTTGATTAGAACAATTTATAAATAATTATAATTGTTAGTATTGTAAATGTTATTTCTTTATGAATAAAAATAGTTTAAACACAACTATAATTCTATATATTGTAAATTTTATTATCTTGTGAATATAGAACAAAAATAATTCATTTTCCATACTATTAATCTTGCTATATTGACGTTTTCTCATCTATCGTGTAGTCCAAAGAAAACACCGTATTTTTTTTTTTTTTAATTCGTTGCTACTTTATGTTTTCTGTGTCCGACAGTAAAGGACGAGGTATAAGTTGTATTTGATATATACACAGAATAAAGGCACTGTCTTCCGTCTGTCTGCCGTTCTTACAAACAAGCGGGGCCCTTAGATGTTATTGCGAGGGCGGGATGGCCGAGCAAGTTGGGGCATGGATACCAGAGTGCCCGATTCTGAACTTTGTGGGTTCGATTCCCACCTGGATTGGGTTACTCGGCGGCTCCGGAAAATGGATCGTGACATTCTGACTTTGGCAAGTGCGCGAAGGCAACATCAAAGGTAGTCGTCAGGGGTTGCCACTTGCCAGGACTAGTTCCCCCCACCTGTACAATTACCGGTAGCAGCAGATGTCATTGCTAAAACTGTAAATAGAGAAGACCATGCTCTGGTTTTGTTCACACAGATATGATATGGCTGTTCATGACGGTTATGTCCATATGATATGACTGTTGCTCTTCGAGGCAGGGGCGCCCTTAGTCATTTGTTTACATAAAAGAAAATCTTAAGAATGGCTTTCTTTCTTTATTCACTGGTTGGAAAGCTTTTAAAAAAAATATGTCAACCCTACACAAATGTGCCCTAAAAATTTTGATACAATACACCTCCCTTCTGGAAACCTCTCGTCAGTCAGCACTCCAAGTATTAAAATCTCCCAAAGTGACCTCCACACTGCTACGGATGTGTAAATCGGTATTGGACACATTGGCCTGCTTCAAGAGTGAGGAACTAGTGTGGGTTCCTGGTTGTAAGGGAATTAAAGGGAATAAAAAAACCTTAATAAAACATCCTCTCAAGAAAGGGAGTTGAAATCCCTTTTATGTGACAAGAACCTACATATCAAAGAACAATACATATCAAAGAAACATAAGCAAAAATAAGTCCAGAAGAAGAAGAGGAGGTAACGAGTAGAGTGAATGCACTGGGCTCAGACAAGCCAAACAATTAATCCAAATCCCTTCCTCATCTAGAACTAAGTGGCTACTAGGCCTAGCTAAAAAGGAAATTCGAAATCATCATTGGTATACTAACAGGCCACTGCAGTTTTGACCAATGTGTTTCGTTATATTCTCATTTCAGTATCGAATCTTTTTTTTAATATACTTCATTATTCCTGATGCAATATTTTTCCCTAACTGTGTTTGGCGGTTTTTGTGTTAATAATTAAAGGGTTTAAGATGGATGTTGATTACAATATATTTCACCTCAGGTATGATGGCGTCGCTGAGAGAGGAATTTCGCCACTTCCACCCTGAGATCAAGACGACGACTGTTCATCCTTTCTTCATCACACCTCCTCCATCCAGCGTTGAACATTGGGACAAAACGTAAGTAAAAATATTGATAATTAAGAACATTTACTCCTCTTTTTTTCTATTTTCCTCCTTGTGCCATCTGACGTGAAGGGGCCTCAATCCAACACTACCAAGCGTTACGGTACCTGCAGAGTTGCTTCATTTGTTGGAGTGGTTTTCCTCCAAGCATTTTTGATGTGCTTTTTATATAAAGTTCTATCTCTTCCGCCTGGCTTCTTACCATTAGCTTCCATTAATTTTCTGGGTTCTCACTCACTCGACAAACATGACCAAACCAGTTATGCTGTACTTTTTCAAGGATTGATTTTAGAGCATGAATTTTCAGCATCTCGCTAACCCTTTCGTTTCTTACGCGGTTTCCTGCGATTCTACATAAGTAATCCATTTCAGCTCCTGTTATGCTGTTTTTCAAGCAAGACCCATTTCTCACTATCGTAGACAAGAATAGGGATTATACTGATTTGTAAATATAGAGCTTGATTTCGTGCTCCATTGCGATGTTTAATAATGCTGCTGCATATACCATAATTAATTTGGTTGGCCCTAGAAATTCAATTTGCTATTTCCCATTCTATTGTTCTCTTTCTATTCATATTAGTTTTGATGTAGTTATCAACCACTTCAAGAACCTCACCGTTGATTCTGTAAGCAAGCGTTGAACATTGGAAAAACCGTAAGTAAAAAAATATAGATCATTAAAAACATTTATTACTCTGCTTAGTTATTCTATCAGTGAGAATATTTTTCCTTTCCTTTTAAAGGTAGAAGGATTAAATATCCCTCCATTACTTTCTTAATTCAACCCTTTGAATTTTAGCCCATTTAACATACTTACAGGAGCTCTTTATCTACTATAAGAATTCTTTTTACTCAATGGTAAATTGATGATTTAACAGTCGTGGTAAAGTATGAAGCTTCATCAGTGTTGAATAAACTATTTTCAGAATATATATCTATTTATAATATATATATATATATATATATATATATATATATATATATATATATATATATATATATATATACCGTAAAATATATATATATATATATATTTTACGGTTGGCTCTACAGACCTTGTAGATCTTTGGCTGCCTGAACCAGCCTTCTCCACCTCTGCCTATCTTGGGCTACTCCTTTCCAGTTTGCTGCATGCAGCTCAGCCATGTCTTTGTTTATTCTATCTATCCATCTGGTGTTTGGCCTCCCACGTGGTCTCTTGCCTACTACTCTGGCATTCATTGTCGTGTAGAGGAGTCCTGATGTATTACTATGAGCTACATGCCCTGCACATCTTAACCTCCTTGCCTTCATGTCATGTGATATTGACTGACCCGTTTCTTTCAACAATTATTTATTTTTTATTGTTTATTGTTCCTTCTCTTCCTTGTTTCAAGGTTCTGGTCCCATATGGGTCCTGTTATCCTACGTGGTACTTTTCGTTCGAATCTCTCAATTCTGGCTTCTAATGTGCCGGTTAGAGCCCAGGTTGCACAACCGTACAGCAGAATTGGCTGTACACCCTTATTTTGAGATTTCTGGAGATTTTGCTGGATTTCAGTACCTTTGAAAGAGAGAAGAAATATCTGTTCGCACTTGTTATTCGCTGGTCTATCTCTGTTAGTTGATCATTTCGAATATGATAGACTATAATATATATATATTTATATATATATATATATATATATATATATATATATATATATATATATATATATATATATCTTTACAACTTTTCCTTAATCGACCTTTGAGTATTAAATTTAAACTTCACTATTTAATTGGGAATAAGGTCACTTAATTATTCCCATAAGGTCAACATTAGGGAATAAGGTCAACATTAAGTGACCTTATTCCCAATTAAATAGTGAAGTTTAAATTTAATACTATGTTTTTAATATATATATATATATATATATATATATATATATATATATATATATATATATATATATATATATATACAGAATATATTAAAAACATTCTATATGTAAATAAACACGTTTCGCTAAAGTGGCTTATACATGGAATACATTAGGGAAAAACTATAGCTATCTAATGTGAAGGATCTCGTTAGATTGTTCTAGTATTTACTAAATCTTTTAGCCATTTCACATGATAATATTCTTATAATTTAATTAGTAAAATAAAAAAAATTAGTATATTGACATTGAGGATGGCTACTTAGAAATGAAAACAGATTAGATGTCTGAAAATAAATTAAATTCCATTGACATGAATCACAGAAATATAAATAATAGAAAGTGAAAACATGAAATAACTTGATTACTATTGTATTTTTTGTTATTATATATATATATATATATATATATATATATATATATATATATATATATATATATATATATATCATTGTTTACTTAGGTCGAGAATTCCAGACGTGAGCGCAGTGACAGTGGCGGAGAGGACGGTGGAAGGTATCAAGAAGGAGAAAGTAACAGTAACCATCCCCAGCTACCTTTACTTCTTGCTGTTGATCCTGCAGTGAGTAGAAGAACTTTTCTTAAAAAATTAAAAGACTTTAATTGGAAAATTGACGCTTTTGGAGTAAGGTGTATTACGAGTACATCTTATCTGAAGTTACAAAACATCTACTGTTAAATTATTTAGAATAACGAAATTGTAATCTAATGTTTCATATCTAACTGAATCCCAAACCTGGTCCAAATCCGATGAAGAAAAATCTCAACTATTCGGTCAATACCTCTTCCAAACCTTTAATCCACATCCTGATATCCTTAATCCACGTCAAATTGAATGTATTGAAGCAGAACTGGATATTCCACTCCAAATGACTGTTCCACCTAAAGCATTTCATCCTTCGGAAATATCTAATATCATCAACAGATTACCTTCTCGAAAAGCTCCTGGACACGACCTTATCACTTCCCAGATCCTAAAACTTCTTCCTCGGAAAGCCATCCTATTCCTCACTTACATATACAATGCTGTGCTCCGATCCACATATTTCCCTGATTCTTGGAAAATATCTATTGTCAAAATGTTACACAAACCTAAAAAACCACCCGAACACCCATCCTCTTTCCGTCCTGTTACCTATCATGGGCAAAATCCTGGAAAAACTCATCCTAAAACGCCTGTATCCCATCCTAGACTCTAATCATATTATCCCTGATCACCAATTTGGATTCCGCACATCGCATTCCACTATCCAACAATGTCACCGTGTGGTTGATGTAGTCTCCTCTGCATTGGAGCGCGGTATGTACTGCACGGGAGTTTTTCTCGACGTTGAACAGGCGTTTGATCGAGTCTGGTACCCGGGTCTTCTGTACAAACTCCGAAAAGTCCTACCCCCTACATACTTCCTCATTATCCGTTCCTATCTTACTGATAGATACTTCAAAGTAAACCAAAATAATGTCTTCTCATCCCTCTTTGCTCAATCTGCAGGCGTTCCACAAGGTAGTATCCTCGGTCCCATCGTCTACACAGCTTATACAGCTGACATCCCAACCCATCCTGACACTATCATCACCACTTACGCCGATAACACATGTTTGCTATCTGTTAATAACGATCCTTTAATTGCATCCCAAACTCTTCAATCACATATCACAAGCCTTGAAGAATGGTGTAAAAATTGGAGAATAAAAATAAATTCCAACAAATCCCATCAAATCACCTTTACCCTCCGTCGTAAACCTATGACGTCTTGTCCTACAGTAACTTTCAATAATACTCCACTTATTCCTGTTGAGCAAATCCGCTACTTAGGATTCCATTTGGATAAACGTCTTACTTGGAATCCTCATACTAGACTGAAACGACAAGAAACTGCTCGACGTTTCCGACTGCTCCAACACTTACTAGACAAACGCTCCAAACTTTCTATTAATTACAAAAGACTTATCTACATAACTATAATAAGACCTATATGGACATACGGAGTTGAGCTTTGGGGCTCCACCAAACCATCGAATTCCTATCGTATCCAATCCTTACAATCCAAAATCCTCCGTAAAATCCTTAATGCTCCATACTTTGTCACAAATAAAACCATTCATAAAGACCTTAATGTACCATATGTCGCTGATTTAGCTCGAGCCAGATATCTATCCTTTCATGATAAACTTCAGTCCCATCCAAATCCGCTTGTTTCCACTCTTGCTTCTTTCTCGATTCCTGATAATCCTCCTAGGCGTCTGAAAAGGAGATGGCCTCGTGATCTTCTTACTTAAATTATTTAGAGAGTGCTACCACTGGATAGTAACTCTTCAAGCCTGTACATGCCATTATTTATATTTGCGCATATTTACTTGTTGTATTTGTATACAGTTGTAAATTCCATTAAATAAAAAAAATAAAAAATGTTTCTTATCATACACCACTATAAATATTGATTTTTTTATTGTGTTTTTTTTATTATTTATTAAAATTGAATTCGTGGCGGACCCACTGAGTGAATCCCGGCCTTCCCACTCTGGTTAGATTATGTTTGGTCGTACCTCTACAACCACCCCCAAATGCCAGAAAAGGCGAGGTAGGGTTATGGCGAAAAAAAAAATTCTTATTTATTTTTGTTAAAAGTTTTGTTTTTCGTATAGAATCAGATAATAATTAAAAAACATTTTTTGGGTTTCTTTTTTAACTTTATATTTATTTTATTTATTAGTTATACATATTCCTGGCTCACTCATCTACCTCGGTATTCAGCAAATATGATATCAAGGAGAAGAAATGATAGCATTAAAAAAAAAGAATAGTAATGAAAAAACAAAAAGACAAAAAAATTAGTAGTAAAATAACACATACATAATAACAAAAAAAAAAGATAATACAGCAAGTAGCTCAATGCAATAATTCTCTTGGCCAGCGCCTCAGCAGTCTTCTGGGCGGATTATATGGATTTGTGGCAGTAAACAGAGCTTGAGTGAGTGGATTGGAATTTAGAGTCTGTCATGAAAATTATTAAAGCGGTCAGTGACAGTTGCCGTGATGAAGGGAGTGTTAAGGTCAGTGTGTAACGTGAGGTTTTAAACAAAAAGGGTGCGTTCACAAATTTCCGAAGCACTTTTGACTGGAATAACTGAATGATTTTTATATTTCATTTATTTGCTGTTACCCGTAGTTCGATCCCATTTGTCCAAAGTGGTTTAATGAGGACTTTGTAAATAGTTAATTTATTAGTCACAGATAATTTAGAACGAATGTCAAGTAGCCTAGAAAGAAGCCGGTATCGCTGATAAAGATCTTTTCTTTTTTAACTTTATAATACAAATATGCGTACTGTGCGCATCACCTCAATTTCTGATACATATACAATTTTTTAACTAATACCTGACATTGCATAAGGTGAGTGGTATGCTATTTATTGTAAGTTTTACCATTCTTGTCAGATAGTGAGTAGAACCGACACCTTTGAAGCAATACGTATTATTCCTGAACTCCGTTCACCAAGTACTGAATCTTCAATGCACGTTATTTTCTTAGAATGGAATTGGAAAAGCCGAATTATTCCTAATTCGTTCTTTTTTCTCAGTTGATAGTTTTTTCCTATTTTTTACGTGTTTAATCCTTTGACAATTTCTTAAAACTGTCTCATTCCATGATCCATCCCTAATTAAGTGATTCCATTCGATTAAATGATTAATCTTAAAAGCTTTATTTAGCGGAATCATTTGGTCAGTGAGGAGTTACAACCTCATCGTTTTTCTTACTCTAACACCTACATTTAATAGAAAATATTAAGACTCATAACAACAGCTCTGACTTCTCTGGGCTCATCCTAGCCACATGACCAGCGCACCGGAGACGTCCCACCTTTATAAAAAGGATGGTGTCCCTCTCCTTGTACATGGACATTATTTCTTGGCTTGTTCACCTTCTCCAGGTGGACCCCTCTGGATCATAGATTGGTCCCAAACTCCTCCTGATCACCTTCCTTTCGAATCGGAGCAAGTCTTCTCCCAAAGCTCTGGTTAGCGTCCACGCCTCAGCACCGTAGGTGGGAAAAGGCCTAATTAGGTTTTTTTACAGTCGCAGCTTTGTTATTTGGGAGATTACTCTACTTTTAAGCTGCGGGACTACTCCAAAGTAACATTTGTTGGCTGCCTGTATTCTGCGTTGCACTCCAGCACCACTGCATTGTCGCTTGTTACTAGAGATCCCAGAGATATAAATTCGTTCACAGTATCTAATGTGTATCTTTGTAACATTAGTGCTCATGTATTTAGTCTGATTAACTTGAGGTCCAAACCGTGCAGCTGCTGTCTCAAGGCTTAAGAAGTATTCACTCATGGCCGTAAACGTCCTCCCTATGATGTCGATATCATCAGCGTATCAAGGAGCTACACCGTGCGAATGAAAATCGTTTCACCAATCTGTATTTCTGACTGCCTAACGGCTCCTTCTAGAGCAAAATTAAACAACAAAAAAATAGGCATGTCAGACCATCTCCCTGCCTTAAGCCCTTGCAGGTGGTGAAAGCATCTGATAACTCGGATAACTCGCCCTCCACTCGCACAAAGCACTGGACGGACTCCATTGTTCGACGAATCAAACATACCAGACCTCTAGGGACACCCATTTCCAACATCACCCTGAACAGTTCCTCTCTCAGTACACTGTCATCCGCAGCCCGGAAATCGATGAAGAGGTGGTGGGTTTGAATATTATATTCACGGGCTTTCTCCAACATCATTCTCAGAGAGACTTCCCTTTGAAATGTATATACATTTTAATTTTACTAAGCCGAGCATGAATTATCAGAATTCACAGTTCCATTATCAAAAATAAAATTGAATGAATGAAAGAAGAAAGAATGAATAGTTTTTGTCAAAAAAAAAAACAGAGGCCCAAGAGATGGAAGAAGAAAACTTTTAAACCAAAATACCCATCTGGAATTTCCGAGAATTTTCTTAGCTCATTTCCATACATGTTCATCTACTTATACCTGTTTCTATTTTTGGAAGAAAACATCATCATTATAATAATGATGACACTCAGCAGAATGTCTTCCCTGAGTTTATTTCAGTAACTCATATCACTCGATTCATTAAAGGAAATCTCTCACCCATCTCCTTTTTAGTATGTACCTTATTAAAGACACGTGGTTCGTTGACGTTCATGAGTCTTCTGGTACGTATATATGTACAGTATATTGTACTTTTGTACAGTATATTGTAGATTGACGTACATGTGTTGGTCGCAAGTTGGTTATTCTATAGAAGTACTCTAAAAGTAGAGTAATTTGAGTAGAATGCAAGCAATGTATTCATAAGATTACAAATTAAAATATAACCAAGTTCAGTTTTAGGAATAGTCTCATAAATGTTCCACAGCAGAGCTTAATTTGTACGTAACTTCACATTATTAAAGTAATTTGCATAAATTATTCATAATACACTCAGAAACATGAAAAAAAATATTGACACGATGTGTTTTCGTAGAAATTATCTATGAAATTATTTGTTTCAGGTTCTTACCATCAGCTGCAGGAGAATTTTGGAGAGATATGTTCTACGCTAAGATCAACCCTCTTGAAAAACGAAAAGCCAAAGTTACATGAGCATTCTCTCACATTTTTATTATTCACAATACCCTTTATCCAAAACAACGAGAAGACCATGTGTAAATAAATTGTCTCTGCATAATCTAGAATTACATTAATGATTTAAAATGTTTATTTATTTATACAATCGTTATGGGTTTTCGTCACAGATAACTGATTCTATATACATTTATCAAAATAATCTGGTTTAACGAAAAACTTCATATACCTAACTACTCAACTGTTAAATCAAATCATAAAATACTAGTCTACAATATTTTCAACTGTATCAATTTTTATAAAATAAAAAAAAAAAAGAGCTTAAGCAAATTTAAAAGATCAAATATAAATCAAAACTAGTATTCTAATACCATTATAGTTCTATGAAAATATTATGCAGCGCATAATTCTAGTTTTATTTATTTATTTATTTTGCTTTGGAAATGAATGTTAAATACTAAAAATCGAAATACGATATAATTATCAAAACATACCAATATTTTTTCATTATGTAGCTTCGTGCATATTATTATACTAACAAACCAAACTTAAGTACTGACAGTAAATTTTATATTGGTGTCAAATTTAATATATATATATATATATATATATATATATATATATATATATATATATATATATATATATACATATATATAGTTATTTATTAAAATATTACATAAAAAGCTACTAAAATAACTTTTCTAATCTCACCCTACATTGCAATGTTGTATTCATTTACAATGCTATTGTTTATTTCGAAGGAATGTAATAGCGGTCTGAAACGCTTGTTACGTTTATTCCTATATAAAATCAGTAATGAAGAAGAACTCGAAAGGACTCAGGGCTATGGGATGGCGTCCTTAGTTAAAAACATCTACCTCTCTTAGTTGCCAGAAAGTATCCATACGAATTTGCAGACATAAATTTTTTATTTGTTTTTTTATGAAAAAGTACAATTTTTATTTTTTTTTTTTCATGCTTACTAATAATTGTTATCATTCAAATAAATCCTTTCAACTGATTATATTTAATGCTGTTCTTGCCAGCCCAACATCTAGTTTTAGGTAAAATAAATTGGGCATTTTATTTATATTATAATTATTTTATTGTTATTGATACTATACTTAGTGTAATTATAAAGCTAAGAAATGTGGTTTTGTTGTTTATATTAAAATCTCAAAAAGTAGATCGTGTGATTGTATGTATATGTAAAGTTTTACGTAATTATAAAGATATCATACTTGTATTAAAAATATATATTTAGATTATATTATCATTTATTTGTTGCTGTAATATATATCTTAGAAATTGTCATCGAAACATAGCATGACATTTACAATTAATTAGTAATTCATTGTATATTTTATATATAACCCAGAAGACAGATTTGCATTACTGTGTTTGATTTATTGATGATTGAAGTAATATTATGATTTTAAGAACGTTAACGTTTCTTTTTTTTGTACTTTGTAGTTTTATTGTAAATAAATATATATTATTTAGTTTTTTTTTTTGTGTCATTATTAAGAAAATGAACATGGACGGCTTTAAAGTATGTTTTTAAATAAAACTATTGAATGCATTAAGATTCAACACTATCTACGAAAAATACTTTTTAAAAATATTGTTACAAGGTACATGGTTCGTTATTACGTACCTTATAATGGGACAATTTAGTTAATAACGTTTTGGAGAGAATTAAATAATTACATTTGTACTGTTAAAGTGCTTCTGTAGGGAGAAAATGGTGGTTCCGTTCCCTAGATTTAAAAAGAATATTTCAAATTAAGACCAAAGATCAAAAGACTTAACAAGATGACCAGCTTGCTGACATATAACCTTCACCATTCTAATTAATCTTCAATCGTATTTTTATTTTCCCAATTTTAAGTTCGACTATTAAGTTTTAAATTTTAAGTTCGGACTCGTCCATATTGCATCCACTCCTTCATACCTTCTATCGATATATAAAAACACATAAAAACGCCGTTTTAATATATATACATATATTAAAACGGCGACAAATATTTATTCTTAAAATACAATGTTTTTTCCTCTTGGGGCACATATTATAAAATTCTTGCTGTTAACCAAATAATCAGCCATATATTAATCATAATATTAATTATTGCAATTCAATAATTAAGGGATATACTTTATTTTTTTAATTTTCTTATATTTATACACTCTACTACGGAACATTTCACATTTATATTTATTTACTAGATAAAGATATAGATTTAAATTAACACAAATAGTATTATCCTTCTGAGCACCTTATTACCATTGTGTAATAACATATTAATACATTTTTTGTCATGTAATGCGGACACCTTAATATGAAGTTTAAGTAAAGTAAACTATGATCGTGTGAGGCATCAGGTTTTTGCAAATAATATTATTAACTGAAGGGCTGGTACCTCTTTGATATTGCATTATTTTGTGATTTTTCAAGATGTACCGTATGCCGAGTTGTTTTGGCATAACGAATCATTGTCGTGTAAATTACATATACATTATATGTTTTATTTCATATGTTTATGAGAATTGTGTCTTCAGCTTAAATTGTCATGCCGTGATTACATGTAATTCATAAAATAAACAAACTATGCAGAAATCATTACTTATATAATAAAGAAAAATAAATTAATTAGGATTTGTTTCACTGATATAGTAAAACCAAGGAGCTGTATTCTTCACTAATCAACTTGTTAACTAACAAACCTGGGTACAATCAAGGATCAGGAATAATGATGATATTGATACTTTGCAACTCGTATCAGCCAAAAAAGTCTTTTTTGTTTACAAAACCCTGAAAAAGACAAATATCATTTTAATTAGCATCACTGCTTCCAAGAAGTGAAAATGAGCAGCTAATTAATTTTCTACACATAATCCAAAGCCACAGTAGCAATACTGTATCTTTCAAGGCAAATATGAAAAATGGAGTATTGTTTTACAATTCATAATAACTTAATGGTATAACTATAATGTAAGCTCTTAAGATCCTCTATCACAAATACAATACGTAAATATTAAAACGTTGATACGTAAATGATGTCCGAATCCAAATAAAAATGATAATAGACATCAAATGTATCGGAAATCTCCTGGAATAACTACATTGCCCAGATTATCCGAAAATCCATAACTATCCTTAAACAATTTCGACTATTCCGTGATTCTATTCCTAAAAAAAAATCAGACAGTTCCTTGTAATCTTCCTTGTTTTTTCCCACTTCGACTCCGATTGCATAGTGTATGGAGGACTGTCCATGACTAAAGAGACTAAAGAGACTCATGAATTGTTTCATAAAATTTATCTTTGTAATTACTAGAGGTTCCCATGTTTCCTGCTTATAAACCAAGCTGAAGTGGCTCCGTTCTACTTCCCGACGGCAATTCATTCTTGGTATTTTCCTTTTCAAATCCTCAAAACCATTTATCCCCCCTACATCCTATAACTCCTTAATCTATGTTCCTCTATCTACTCTTTTAATATCAGATCTCAACCTGTATATTCCCTCCGACATGGCTTTAGCAAATGCTTCTTCGTTCGTGCTAGCTCCTTTTGGAACTATCTCTATACGTCAATCAACGTCCTCAAATTCCTTCAAATAACTCCTATTCCACTACCTACTACACATTAAAACTTCCGCAAGCTTGTAAAAAAGTTTAGGTTATGTAATTACAATTGCTCACCAACACTTAATTGATATGATTCATTTTATTTTTATTTTTTCTTAGTATGTTTGTATATATTTGAATATACTAAAATTTTATAGTATATACTTGTATTAATATTTACGTGCCAGACTGATGTATATTTTTTGAACTCTGCTATTATTCTGAGGGAACTCTAGTCCCAGAATAAAATTATTTTTCATTTATTTTTTTCTTTATTTATTTATTTGTTTGCCTATTTATTGAGTGATATTGCATTCTGTCACAATTAAGGACATTTATAATAGCGTTCAGAAAGCACATTCACACTTTATCAAAAATAAATAATATAGAAAAACAATAATACTAAAAGTAAATGTATACCTATAAACTAAAATAAACTAAACTAATAAGATTAACTACCCACATACACACATGCTTCTTCCAATATCTGAAGAAAAAAAAATGATTCACTCAAAATCTCTGAGCCAAGCATTTATTCACGCTCGTGAAGGAAGAATTTTTCCGGGATAGGGTCTAAGACAAATAGGATATTAAAGTCATGGTGTAGGGTTTTGTTGGTTACATAGAATGGAACTTCAACTATTGTTAGAAGGACTTTAGATTGAAAGGATTGAATGCGTTTGATGTTAGAAAATGTTGATATCCCCCACATTTCAAGTCCGTATGTCCACATATGTCTCGGGATTGCCTTGTAGATAAGTAATTTGTTTTCAATTGAAAGTTTAGATTTTCTGTTTAGTATTCTGTGTAGTTGGCCGTATCGTCGGCTCTTGTTTTCCGAGTCTAGCATGTGGGCTCCATGTTAGACTTCAGTCTAAAAGAAAGCCAAGATATCGGACTGTGTCTCAGAAAGGAAACTGGAGGGAATTAAATTGTACTGGTTAACAGGAGTTGCGTCGGAGTGTAAAGATAATATGTTGACATTTGGATACATTTAATACATAACTTTAAACGCTAGCTATTAATACGCCAGTACTCAATCAAGGTAACGTGATGAACAGGTATGTCAGCGGTAAAGAGGATGTAAAGTACGGGACCCAATAAGCTGCCTCGAAGAACACCGGCTTTAACGGGATATATATCGGGAAATTTTGTTCCACAGTGAAACTCGAAAGGAGCCGTTAGAGATGTAAGATCGGAGGACTAGTCACAAGAACTGAGGTAAATGAATTTTAAACTTGAAGAGCAATCCGACGTGCCATACCCGGTCGAATGCCTCTGCTATGTCCAAAAATGCACCCGAACAGTATTATCATTTCATTTTTGAAACGTCCATTGTTGAAGGGATGTTAATGGAAAAATTATCACGTAGAATTGAATAACTTAAG